CAATTTGCCCTTTTTTTACATGCTTCACCCCCCTTTTAACCCCTCTCTTTTTTCCCCATAACCTTCCCCCCTTTGAAATCATTCACTTTGTAAAACTTCTCATAGCTAACTTTTTTTCCCCCTTACTACCTTTTTCCCAATTATTCCACCAATCGCTCCTCTTCCCTCCGCACCCATTTTCCTGTAACCACAAACTTCTGCTGAACACTCTAACATTACATTTTTAAACCTACCCCATACCTCTTCGACCCCATTGCCTATGCTCCTCTTAGCCCATCTATCCTCCAATAGCTGTTTATATCTTACCCTAACTGCCTCCTCTTTTAGTTTATAAACCTTCACCCCTCTTCCCTGATGCTTCTTTTCTCCCTTGAAATCCCATCTACCTTTTACTCTCAGTGTAGCTACAACTAAAAGTGATCTGATATATCTGGGCCCCTCTATAAACATGTACATCCTGAATCTACTCAACAGTCCTTTTAAATCTACCAATACATAATCCAACAAACTACTGTCATTTCGCCCTACATCATATCTTGTATACTTATTTATCCTCTTTTCTTAAAATATGTATTACCTATAACAAACCCCCTTTCTAATACAAATTTTCAATCAAAGGGCCCCCCATTTTCATTTAAAACCTGGCACCCCAAACTTACCTACCACACCCCTCTAAAAGTTTCTCCTACTTTAGCATTCAGGTCCCCTACCACAATTACTCTCTCACTTGGTTCAAAGGTTCCTATACATTCACTTAACATCTCCCAAAATCTCTCTCTCTCCTCTACATTCCTCTCTTCTCCAGGTGCATCACGTTTATTATGACCCATTTTTCCATCCAACCTTTACTTTAATCCACATAATTCTTGAATTTACACATTCATATTTTCTTTTCTCCTTCTATAACTGATCCTTCAACATTACTGCTACCCCTTCCTTTGCTCTAACTCTCTCAGATACTCCAGATTTAATTCCATTTATTTCCCCCCACCGAAACTCCCCTACCCCCTTCAGCTTTGTTTCGCTTAGGGCCAGGACATCCAACTTCTTTTCATTCATAATATCAGCAATCATCTGTTTCTTGTCATCCGCACTACATCCACGCACAGTCAAGCATCCCAGTTTTATAAAGTTAATATAGAAATGAATATCAGATGCTCATTCAACTCATACTTTGTTCTACAGCTAAGACTAGTAAACTGAACAATGCTCTATATTCCAACTTATCTTAATCTAAAAACCTTGAATCAATTTTATAATATTCAAATCTATGCATTCACTTTGTAGTGGTAGTGATTATTTGGCTACTAAATTAAGTTACACAAAAAATCAAACATTAATTTAAAAACATTCCCAGTAGAGAAAGTGCTAGTGGTAATGTGACTTGGACAGTACTGTACCTTCATATTACAAGCAGAGTCCAGTTCACATATTCGTATGTGTACTATATGATCATTAAGTAAAGACATTGGAAAGTCTTTTATGATACTATCAACATTGATATTCTTCTTCTCCTGAAGAAAGCTGCCTACTTCCTCTATGAGTATCTTTTCCACCATTGTACTGAAATAGATTGGTCTTATTAGTATTATAAGTTCACAACAAGAGTTTAAATGTGATATTAAAAGTAGTATGTTTCACTAACAAGTAGTTTTATGCTAAGGATGAAATTTAATGAGAAATATTTCTAATGCATTCCTTAAACATTGTAAAATTCCATTACATCAAACCACCATACGGCGAATTCTGTTTGTCTGTCATCGTATTCAAGTACCAAGGAACAGCACCTGCAATAGACCGCCCACCAAATTTTCAACAACTTCCTTCTCGTTTGAAGCATGGTGATCACTTCCTGGTAAAACTGCCTGCTACTGCTTTCAAGAAGAAGGCTCAAAAGAGGTGTTACGTCTGTGCACATACAAGAAAACGCCCACAACAACGCAGAGACACTCGTTTTATGTGTGAAGAATGTAAAACACCACTGTGCATGACACCATGTTTCAAAGACTTCCACAGGCTGCAGAGCTTCTAGAAACATTCCCTGTGACTGTATATGTGTATATAATATATAGAAAAATAGTAATAAACAATATTTCATACCGTTTGTTTGTGCAAATATTTTTTGTAAACAAAACAATGACAACAGTGTTTACGCCCTTATTGTGTAGTATTGAAAAAGAAATAACTTACAAAATACTGATCATACTGGTCTCACAGGCCATAAAAGTTACTTGGAAAAAGAAAAATTAAAAAATAATAAAAATTAGTACATAAGAAAGTAAATAAAAGAATACCGGGTGATGGCAGTCGGCGATGTTGCCACATGGTGCCCCTTTTTCATCAACTTCACGCCTCCATATCTCGGTAAGTATTGATGGTAAAAATTTTTGTTTAGCCTATAATGTTCAGTAAAATAAACTCTATTTTTTCATAAGAAAAAAATAATTTTTTTTTTTAAATCTGGCCGACCCTGAGAACAAGTCTCTGACAGGGCCTGTCGACCCTGAAAGGGTTAATGAATAAATTTTCTGTTTATCTTCTAATTGTCGTTTTCTTCTTTCAGATGCCTCGTACTTGTGTAAATAGTGCAGACAACTTCTGCTACATTTGTGGTGAGGTGACCTTTGCATCACAGAAGCACCATATAACTGCTATGGTTAGAAAGGCATATCACCTAGAAAAGCATATCACACACATGCTGCAACAATTGTGCTACTAACCTTCGCCAATGGTTGAACAGGAAGAGGAAAGGAATGCCTTTTGCTGTGCCAATGACATTGCAGGAGTCAACACACCATGGGATATAACATGTCACTTAAAATCCACTTTTTGGACTCACATTTAGACTTTTTTCCAGCAAACTGTGAGGCAGTTAGTGATGAACATGGTGAAAGGTTTCACCAAGATATTTCAACCATGGAAAAATGACACCAAGGCAAATGGGGCACAAGAATGCTTGCAGACTATTGCTGGACATTGGCAAGAGATGATTCTTCAGCCCACTATAAGCTTCAAGCAAAAAGGCAGAGAGTAGGTATGGATTAGTTTAAAACATATTGACACATATCGTACGTTATAATAAAATAATCAAATATTACATGTCTCGTATCTTTAAAACTACAGCCAATAAGCATTTTTCAAGGAGATATTTGGATTTAGGACATGAAAATACATAAAAATTAACTAATCTCATTTAAGAAGCATACAACTTTTCAAAAACTGTTGACCAGTGTTATTACATTCACGAGCACTAAACCAGTAATGAGAGGTGATCAAATTTGACCTAAGGAAGGAGTAGGTAGCTCCAATTCCTGCAATCCAGATTAATTATAAATATTATCATGTGGGAGTGCAAAACCTGTAAGTTTATTCAGGTATACACAAATACAGTTACAAAGATTATCATACATAGCAGCATATGTGTAGAGAACCTAAGATGACTCAAAAAAAGTCATGCAGACTGACTTATTTATTTTTATGTCTTTGCAAACAGTACATTGAGATTTTATATTTACAATAATGGGTCGCAATGCAAAGAGAGCCTCTATTATGCCTAGGCATTATGGGCCAACTTATTATTGGCTTACAGACTACTTAACACTAAGGATTTTATCATAGTTGTACAGGACAGTAATTATTTCATAGTTGTACAGTAGATTATTAATTATAAGTGAATTAAATTTTTGGTGGCCCGGTGGCCTGGTGGCTAAAGCTCCCGCTTCACACACGGAGGGCCCGGGTTCAATTCCGGTGGAAACATTTCGAAAGTTCCTTACACCTGTTGTCTTTCATAGAGTGGTACCTGGGTGAGTCCGGACTGAGTGTTGCATTCCTGGGTGTTAAGATTTTGGGGAAAGGAAATAATTAAATTGATTTTCAGACTGGGCTTCTTTTATCCTGTGGTAAGAACCTCCGTTTTGGGTTTAAACGAACGAAATCTTATCTTATCTTATCTTGACACGAGGTATATCAAAAAGAGATCTGTGTCTTGTGGTCATGTATCCTGTTTCCATTGTAAGTTTATTCAGGTATACACAAATACAGTTACATAGAATTATCATACATAGCAGCATATGTGTAGAGAACCTAGGATAACCCAAAAAAGTCAGACAGAGTGACTTATTTCCATTGGGGTCCTTAGTAGGTATTAGTAGGATGATAGTGCATGTGAGGGTGACTGTATTCAGGCTCAATTCAGGGAACTGAAGCACAGATCCAATGCCCTAGATCAAGAGCCCCTCACCAACATCAAGGAACCTCCCTTGAGGGGCTGTAATCAAGAACCCAGCATCAAGGAACACCTTGATGCTGCCAACAGTAGAACAAAATTGCCATCATCAGCACTATTAATAACTCCCCGAGCCTCGTAATATATCTAACTCATTAACCAACCTATTCATCTTTTGAAGAATTTCAACATGAAGAACTGGACAGCCATCAGCAGCCATCTTAATAAACTTATAAATAAACACTTGAATAAGACGGTTGAAGTTGTTATTGTCGTTGTGATGATCCACAACAAATAAGCGACTCTGGAAAATATCTACCACAAAATATATGTCTATGTTAAGTTGAAAATTGTCCATAGTTATAAATAACTAAATTAATGTTTATATTATGTGCTTATGGAAAATTGCAAAGAGGTTTTGTATTTTTGTTAAGGGCGATATTTCTTGAAAATTATTTTTAGTCCTAAGGCGGCGCTGCATGACCCTTGTGGGTTTAGCGCTTAGTCTTAAGTAAGTAAGTAAGTAAGTAAGTAAGAGTTTATTAATTCAGTTATACACAAATACAGTTACATAGAATTATCATATATAGCAGCATATGTGTAGAGAACCTAGGATAACCCAAAAAAGTCAGACAGAGTGACTTATTTCCATTGATAATAATAATAATTGATGATAATAATGAAATAATATAGCTCAAGTCTTTATTAGTATCATTATTATTAGTTGTAGTAGTGGTAAGATATGTCACAGCCAGTCATAGCATGAACCACTTCAAGAAGTCAACCAAAAGCTACCTAATTAATGTAGCTACAGACAGGTACCTAATTAATGTAGTGACAGAAAGGTACCTAATTAATGTAGCCACGGAAAGGTACCTAATTAATGTAGCCACAGAAAGGTACCTAATTAATGTAGCCACGGAAAGGTCCCTAATTAATGTAGCCACAGAAAGGTACCTAATTAATGTAGCCACAGAAAGGTTCTTAATTAATGTAGCGACTGAAAGGTACCTAATTAATGTAGCGACAGAAAGGTACTAAATAAAGTACTGACAGGAGGTAACCTAAATTATATGTTGCACAGAAAGGTAATCTAATTAATGTGCTACAGAAAGGGTACCTAATTAAGTGGTGAACAATGTACCTAATTAACGTAACGACAGAAAAGGTACCTAGTTAAAGTAAGCGACACAAGGTACCTAATTAAACATGTAGTTACAGAAGGTACCATAAAAAAAGTGTTGCGACAGAAAGGACTTAATTAAAATGTAGCGACAGAAAGGTAACAATTAACGTACCGACGAAAGGTAACTAAATAATTGTAGTCGACGGAAAGGAAACTAATTAATGTTAGCGGCAGAAAAGGCACCTAATTAATGAAGCGACAGAAAAGACCTAATTAAATGTAGCAACAAAAGTGTACCTAATTAATATAGCAACCAAGAAGGTAACTAATTAATGTAGTGACAGAAAGGTACCTAATATTGTATAGAAAGAAGGTACCTAATTATTGTATACAGAAAAGGTGCCAAATTAATGTAGCACAGAAAGTGCCTAATTAATGTAGCACAATAGTACCTAATTTAATAAAGCGACAGAATGGTGTGTGGCCTAATTAATTAGCGACAGAATGGTGCCTAATTAATGTTAGCGACAGAAAGGTAACCCTAATTAATGTAGCGACAGAAAGTAACAAATTAATGTAGCGACAGAAAGTGTAACTAATTAATGTAGCGGCAGCAAGTATCTCATTAATGTTGCGATAAAAATGTTACCAAATTAAAGTACGACAAAAAAGTGACCTAATTAATTAGCGACAGAAGTAAACCTATAAATGAAGCGACAGAAAGGTACCTAATTAATGTAGCGACAGAAAGGTAACTAATTTAATGTAGTGACAGTAAGGTGCCTAATTAATGTAGCGACAGTAAGGGTACCTAATTATTGTAGTGACAGAAAGATACCAAATTCTGTTGCGACAGAAAGGTACCTAATTAATTTAAATGTACATAAGTGTACGCTAATTAAATGGAACGACAGAATGGAGTACCTAATTAATGTAGCGACCAGAGAGGCACCAAATTAATGTAAGCCACAAGAAAGGTAACCTAATTAAGTGAAGAAAGTTACCTAATAATGTAGTGAGAGAAAGTACCTAATTAATGTTATCGACAGAGAGGTACCTAATTAATGTAGCTACAGCATGTACCTAATTAATGTAGCGACAAGAATGGTACCTAATTTAGTAGCGAAATAAAGGTAACTAATTAATGTAGCGCCAGAATGTACCTAATTAATGTAGCGACAGAATGATCTAATTAATGTACGACAGAAAGATGACCTAATTTGATGTAGTGACAGAAAGGTACCTAACTAATGTAAGCGACAAAATGTACCTAATTAATGTAGCGACAAAAAGGTACCTAATAATGTAGCGAACATAAATTGATGTCCAAAAATGATGTAGTGACTGAGAAGGTAACATTAATTAATGTAGCGACAGAAAGGTACTAATTAATGTCGCGACAGAAAGGTAGCCTAAGTCAATGTAGCGACAGGAAGGTACCTAAGTAAAGTAGCGACAGAAAGTTTACCTAAGTAATTGTAAGCGACAGAAAGGTACCTAAGTAATTATCAACGAGAAAAGTACCTAAATTAATGTAGCGACATAAAGGTACCTAATAATGTAGCGACAGAAAGTACCTAAGTAATGTAGCGACAAGAAAGGTACCTAAGAAATGTAGCGACATAAAGTACCTAAGTATTGTAGCAACAGAAAAGGTACCTAAGAAATGTAGCGACAGAAAGGTACTATAGAGTAAAGAGCGACAGAAAGGTACCTAAAGTATCTAGCGACAGAAAGTACCTAAGTAATGTAGCGACCGAAAGGTACCGTAAGTAAGTGTAGCGTACAGAAGGTACCAAAGAATGTAGTCGACAAATGGTAACCTACAGTAAGGTAGCGACAGAAAGGTACTAAGTAATGTAGCGACAGAAAGGTACCTAATAAGACGACAGAAAGGTACCTAAGTAATTTAGACGACAGAAAGGTACCTAAGTAAGGTAGCGACAGCGAAAGTACCTAAGTCATGTAGCGACAGAAAGGTACTCTAAGTAATGTACGAGAGAAAGTACCTAAGTAATGTTAGTGACAGAAAGGTACATAAGTAATGTAGCCGACAGAAATGGTACCTATCTGTAATTGTATGCGACAGAAAGGACCTAAGTAATATACGACAGAAAAGTACCTTAGAATGTAGCGACAGAAAGGTACCTAAGTAAGGTAGCGACAGAAAGGTACCTAAGTAATGTAGGCGACAGAAAAGTACCTATGTAATGAGCGACAGAAAGGTACCTACGTAATATAGCGACAGAAAAGTACCTAAGTAATGTAGCGAACCAAAAGGTACCTAAGATCAATGTAGTGACAGAAAGGTAAACCTAAGTAAGGTAGCGACAGAAAGGTACCTAAGTAATGTAGCGACAGAAAGGTACCTAAGTTAATTGTAGCGACAGAAAAGGGGGTACCTAAGTACAAACCGACGAAAAGTACCTAAGTAATGTAGCGACAGAAAAGAGTACTAAGTAATTGAAGCAACAGAAAGGTAACCTAAGTAATGTAGCGACAGAAAGGTACCTAAGAAACTGTATTCGAAAGAAAGGGACCTAAGTAAGTAGCGACGGAAAGGTAGCTAAGTACTGTACGACAGATAGGTATACATAAGTAATGTAGCAACAGAAAGGTACCTAAGTAATGTATCGACAAGAAATAGGGTTACCTAAGTAATGAGTCGACAGAAAGTACCTAAGTAATGTAGCGACAGGAAAAGTTACTTAAGTAATGATAGCGACAGTAAGGTACCTACGAAATAATAGCGTCAGAAAGTTTCTAAGTAATGTAGCGACAAAGAAGTAACCTAAGGTAGATTTAGCGACAGAAAGTGTACCTAAGTAATGTAGCGACTAAAAGTACCTAAGAAATAAGCGACAGAAAGGTACCTAAGTAATGTAGCGACAGAAAGGTACCAAAGTAATGTAGCGACAGAAAGGTACCTAAGTAATGTAGCGACAGGAAGGTACCCTAAGTAATGTAGCGAACAGAAACGGTACCTTAGTAATGTAGCAACAGAAAAGGAAACCTTAGTAATGTAGCGACAAATGGTACCTTAAGTAATGTAGCGACAGAAAAGGTAACCAATTAAATGTAGCGACAGAAAGGTACCAAAGTATATAGCTGACAGAAAAGTACCTAAGTAAGTAGCGACAGAAAAGTACCTAAGATGTAGCGACAGAAAGGATACCTAAGTAATGTAGCGACAGAAAGTACCTAAGTAATGTAGCGACAGAAAGGTTACCTAAGTAACTGTAGCGACAGAAAGGTACCTAAGTAATGTAGCGACAGAAAGGTACCCGTATAGTAATGTAGGGGACGACAGACCAGCACCTAAGTAATAGTACGACGAGAAGGTACCTAAGTAATGTAGCGACAGAAAGTTACCTAGCAATGTAGCGAAAAGAAAGTGACCGTAATAATGTAGCGACAGAGAAGTACCTAGAGTAAAGTAGCGACAGATAGGTCCAAAGAAATAGTAAGCAACAGAAAGGTAACCTAAGTAAATGCGCGACAGAATGGAACCTAAGTAAAGTATCGACAGAACGTACCTAATAAATGTAGCACAGAAAGGTACCTAAGTAAATTTAGCGCAGAAAGGTACCTAAGTAAGTAGCGACAGAAAAGGTACCAAAGTAAGGTATCGACAGAAAGGTACCTAAGTAAATGTAGCGACAGAAAGGTAACCTAAAGTAATGTAGCGACAGAAAGGGTACCTAAGTAATATAGCGCAGAAAAGGACCTAAGTAATGTAGCGACAGAAAAGTACCCTAATAAATGTAGGGACAGAACATGTACCTAAGTAAAGTAGCAACAGAAAGGTACCTAAGTAAGATTGTAGCGAGCGAAAGGTACCTAAGTAATGTAGCGACAGAAAGGTACCTAAGTAATGTTACGAAAGAAAGGGAGACCTAAGTAATGTAGCGTACATGAAGGTACCTAAGTAGTTGTAGCGACAGATAGGTACCTTAGTAATGTAGCGACAGAAAGTACTAAGTAATTTAGCGGCAGACACAGGTACCTAAGAAGGTAGGCGACAGAAAGTTACTAAGTAATGTAGCGACAGAAAGTACCTAGTAATGTAGCGAACAGAAAGGTACCGTAAGTAATTAGCGACAGGAAGGTACCTAAATAATGTAGCGACAGAAAGGTACCTAAGTAAATGTAGCGACAGAAAGGTACCTAATAATGTTGCGACAGAAGGTACTAATATGTAGCAACAGAAAGGTACCTAAGAAATTGTATCGACAAAAGTACTTAAGTAATATAGCGACATGAAAGGTTACCTAAGAAATGTAGCGCAGAAGGTACCTAATATATGT